ATAGCATTCTATCTATTTTAACAGAATGTATAGCGGTGCTGTTGTGAATCAGAGTTGTAACTCTTTAAATGAAGGATATCTTGAAATTACGTCTACGTCTCCTTAATATTTAGTTATTGTTTAAAAAGGAACTGAGTTTTTGCCACAAACTCAAATTGTCGCATCCCAATATCTTTGCAACATGAAACCTTTGATATTTCAAACTTTGAATCTTTTGATCTAACAGAATTCATAGATTGAAATATCAAAGGTCTGTGACATCGGGTCGCAAAGCCCAAAGACATAAAAGTTTAATAATTAGAATTCGTGAAAAAAAAAACTCATTTCTTTTTCATAAATTTGTTGTTTATATTTTATTTTTGCATCAAATTGTGAAATATTAAACTATTAATAACCAAAATGTCATATCTATACTGTTTGTGAACTGCTAATTAGAATTACACTTTAATTTTGAGATTTTTTTCCTCTTTGAGATTTTTTTCCTTTATGAGATTTTTTCCATTATTTAAGAAATACGTTGTAGTTTTTAGTATATTTTAACTAAATATATTTTTTGGCCTTTTCTATCCTGTTTAATTCAGATAAGCATAATGCCTTCAGAAGAAAAACATACTAATATATGACCAATCTAAAGCTACTTATAATAATACAAAAACAGAGAAAGTACAAAAAATAAAATTATTTTTGTGAAATTTTTTCATACTTTCTTTTTTAAACATTTGTTCAAGAAAGCAAATCGTCGCGGAAGTACCAAGTTTTGTCCGATAACAATATACATTTTAGATAAAAAACATTTGTAGGAATTTTAAAACTAAATAGTTTGAGAAATAAGACGCCATTTTGAAAATACAATAGTTTTCCCGCCAATTTTTAAATTTCCCGGGAAAATGGTTGTAATTGTTTAGCAAGAGGTGGGAATGTTGTGTTGTCATATTGTTACAGCTGTCTCCGATCTGTTCATATTAGATCAGTCCGCTTTCTTCTAGAAAAAAAACAATAATTTTTATACTCTTTACACTCTACAGTGTACACTGTTCTCTGTACTCTGTACGTTGTAAGCTGCACGCTTTCCTCTGTACGCTGTATTCTGTACGCTGTACACTGTACATTGTACACTGTACACTGTACACTATACACTGTACACTGTACACTGTACACTGTACACTGTACGCTGTACGCTGTATACTGTACGCTGTACGCTGTAC